ATGCTTTTGTGCACAGCCTCATGGCTACACCTATGAGAACATTTTGACTTGCAACAATGCATTCCACTGTAAGGTTTCACTCAGTGATAGTGTATGCAGTGGTTTATGCTATATAAATGAGGCAGATGTGAGATTGTGCCATCTATGTTCACACTGGTGCACTTGGTGATATTCATAATAAAGAAATTACCTAAGAATATCTCTATAAGAATGGATCTTTGTCTTCAGACAACTGGGGACCATAATGATACAATTCCAGTAAGACACCAAATATAGCAACATTCTAAAGCTGGTGATAATCAAAGTTGGAAGCCATTTCAAAGACTTCTTTGTTGTTGGTAAGGATGCTGGAGTAATTTGTGCAACAATTATAGCATGTAAGTCAGGAGACACACCCATGCCCTTCTATGGTAGGCTTTCTTATGTTGTTTTATTCCATGTTAGTATGGTAATACAACCTGGGCAATCCTCAAAAGCCTAAGACACATCTTTCAAGTGGATGGAGCTGCCCTAATTGACCCAAGAATAGGGAGCACAGTGGGAAACAGAAGAAAACATCAGCCACAGAGCATACAGTGTGGCTTTTTCCATAGGCTTGGAAATCCATGTCCAGATAAGAAAAATCTGATTGAAAAAGAAACCAGGCCAAATTGTTGAATCCTTTCACCCTTTCAACACAGAGCTAAACAGGGTAGTGTTTGAGAATTTCCTTTTGTGGGACAGACCCAAACTCTCTGAATTATTATTATAATCATAAGCATTTTAGCTACAATCTTGGAAAATATTTATTAATCAATGGAAGCCCAAATTTTGGTTTAATGTACTTATGCAGAAGCTCTTAAAGTTATTGTGGTTACTCTGTATAAGATTTTTTTTTAATCCCACCAAATTTCCATCATGAGTTCTAAATAGGATTTCATGTCTAAGCATCACAGAAGATGAAAGTAGGCATGCTGAGATAAGGAAGGATTTCTGTCTCGTTTTCCCACTCCACTCTAACTTTCTATACAATGAGACTGTCAGGCCATAAGTTCACATAGTTTACTTAACATGCAGAAGCCATCTGATCCAGGGGTATGAAGCCATAAAGGCAAGACATCATTCTTGGAAGTGCCATCGCAACTCCAGCTGCCGAGATTGAGAGAAGCCTGCAGAATGAAATAATCCTTAAGTCAAGCTAACATATGTCATTTGGAAAAACAACAACAACAACAACAACTGGCTTCTGCATTCTGGCTGGGGAGAAAAGATATTTTTGCCTTAGTGTCCAGATTTCCAGAGATGTTAGCCAGTTCATTTCGGTACCATTGGTCAAAACGCAGTTCAAGAATGTTTTGCATAATGGTACTGTTTGACATGGTTCAAAGCTACTGATTAAATGTCTAATGATCAATTTAACAGCATCTTTTACTGAAGATGAATTTGTGGGGTATTATAATTCAACACCAAGTTTGGGCCACTCAAACTTCCATGTGTCTTCTCCAGTGCTGGCACAAACAGGGGCTGAGAGCTCTCGGTGAGTTCCACTTTAGGAGCCCACCTTCCTCTGGAGCTGCTGCTTCTTAGTTCATTCTGCCTAATGAACTAAGGAGGTACTGCCACCTGTGCTTGTCTACTTCAGGGAACCGCCTGTAAGATAAGTAGGAAACTCTCTGCACACCCCATAGTGTTCCTTTGTGAGATGGTGGAGGTGTTTGCTGTCACTGCTCCACACTTCAATATGTTGTTTGTTCCACCCTGTTTTCTTCATTCATGCACAGGAGCAGAACCCGAGATCACTTTGAGTAAAGTTCCTGCACTGAAATTTGCATCTTAGAGTCTGTTTCCCAGTGATGAAAACAGGCAACATTATAAGATCCCATTTCTAGAACAGCTGGGATAAGCTGAGAGTCCAATTTTAGCATCCCATTTCTAGAAAAACTGGCATAAGTAGAGAGTACAATGTCTAGCCTTAACATATTTTAGTAAGGGTAGATAAATGACTTTTACAGCTTGATTTTTTAAAAAAAATATTTATATTCTATTTATTGAGTTATATTTACCATGAATCAATTTAGATGACAGTTGTGTAATGTCAATTTTTGAAAAATGGTGAGAAAATAAAACTTTTTCCCCTTTCAATTCACAGAAGGTAATTTCAGCTTCATTGCAGCTGGGTACCCTGACCTTGCAGAGAGATTGCTGACCAGTCTCAGAGTTATGTTGAAATTCAACCATCACAGGAAATAGTGAAAGAGGGGCTGTGATTTTCCAGTTTCAGTATGGGAGTGCTTATCAATTATGTAAACAAGTGAGTCTGGTCGTGATCTTGGGCACATTTGTATAGAATAAAAGGATTTTGGGGAGAATTTTGTGGAGGTTGATGGTGTATCAGATGAGGATGTGGACTTGGATGTAACTTTTCAGTACGGAACACATAATCTAAGTCTGGAAAGCAACCCTACTCTCTGATGGCATCTGAGGGCCTGGCCAGTCCCCGCTTATCCTCAGGTGCCTCTGGCATCCATGAGAAAGATTTTATGTCTCAGTTCAGAAAGATGCTTCTGCTCTTTTCATTTCGCACTTGGTGGGAAGAAGGACGAGAATAGCCTTTCCTGAATTCTCACTTCCTCAGATTACTAAATAAGTCTTCTGACTGAGTGTCCAAACTGGACATATCCTGAGAAACGTCTATTCCTTTAGCCAGAAATAGGAAACTGTGCCTTGATTTATAGAAACCATCTCTTAGCAATAGGGAACTCCTGAGGATTTGTGCTCTGTGCTCTGGGCTAGACCCATCGGTTAAGAGATCAGAGCAGCAGAGGGACCAAAAGAGTGAACCTGAAATGAGTTCTTCTAGTCATCTATATAACATAGTCCTTCTCTGGTGTCAATAGAAAACATATATGTAGTAAATTAAAAAGACTCCTTTAGACATGGTACCCTCTGAAAGTTACAAAACTCTCAGTTTTTAACTCTGTTCTGCATTCTTTCTTGAGTAGGCTTTGAGTGACCATCAAGAAGATAACAAGAAGAAAGAACTGGCGGACAAGGGCCTGAAATGAACACAGAATTTAGGTTCATGAGAGAACACAGGAAGAGAAGAAGGACCAATGTGTGGAGCATGATAAGTTCACACTGCAGCTTCCTGCCAATGTCTTCTGGCTGCTCTGTGAGTGGATCACCAGAACATGGCAATTGAGTGACAGAGGAATGAATGACACATGTGTGGGCTGGAGGGACCTAACAGGATACTTTGTCCAAACTCCTCATTTTTCAAAGAAGAAAGAGATTCTCAGAGACTGGCAATGAACTGGCCCAATCCCTCAGCTGTTAGTAGTCACTTGAACCTCCATCTCTGTCCTCTATCCACAGCCCTTCAAGCTCAGACTGAGAATAAAAGGGGAACAAATGTGAATTGTGATGTGCAAGAATATCAAAACTGAGGACATGTATGTTAAGCTGATCAACACTGGATTTTCCATACACATTAAGTAGCTTACAGGTCTTAACTCTGAGTCCTTTGGCTTCAGACCCACATCTGACAAAGTTTGAACAAGGTATTCCCCATGTGATGCTGACTTCTGCAGAAGTCACTGGAGCAAGGTGTCCTGAATGCATGTACTGGCTTCAAGGATGTGAGATGAGGTAAGCATTGGAGTGCCACAAGGGATTCTTTCCTAGAATGCCAGGGAACCTTCTGTGGGGACCTCTTGCACACTGCTTCAGGGAGTATCTCCCTCCACCCATCAATCCTTGTTACATGAAACAAGTGACTGTCTGCTCAATGGGGATCTGACCATTTCTTATCTCTCTATAATGAGTAAAGAAAACCAAAAGGAAAGATTCTGTGAAAATAGTTCATATCAGATGCCTGTCTAGAAGGAGGGATAAAGCTAAAGGAAAGAATGGCTCACATAATTATTGTCTTGTCTCTGCTCCAGAAACATTGCATTAAAGCATGGCACTTTTAGGTCTAATAAATAATATTTATAAATTTCTCTTCTGGATGCTCATTTTCTACTAATTATTGCATAGCTTGGGTGAACTAGATGTCCCCGGATCTTATTCTCTGCAATGAACTCATATTGAGCCTCCATTCACTGAGGCTTTCCTTCAGGCCCCAGTTGAACCACGTCATGGACAGTGGGGCAGAAAGAGTTATGCCCTGGATGAGTATTATGATTCTTAATTTTTCAATAGAACATTATGACCAATAGTGGTACAAGAAGATCTTCCCAAATCACAAATCTAGAAAGTAAAAGATCTTTGGAGCAATGTCTTCTCCTGTATGGTTTTTCTCTTTCCAATGGATGGAATTTTAGGAGGGAAATTTAATGACATTCATTCTGTGTGGTAGACTCAAGCTTTCAATGGCAACATTGAAAGTGAAAATAAACACACCCAAACTGTTTAGTTCCTTTGTTTGACAAATATTCAGTCTTATCTTGAGAGACAACAGTTTTGACTATTATTATTATTTGCTTTTTCCAAAGTGGTTGTTTAATGTGTTCATAACATAAATGTAAGGTATAATTTTGGGACAAATTAGAGGGACAAAATAATAACAAAATTCTTAGACTGAACTTCATTTCCAAGGTCAATTCCTTAGGACAGGATTAGGTCAAAAGTGGCCTGGGGATATAGCTCAGTGGCACAAGTACCCACTTGGAAAGCAAGGCCCTGAGTTCTTCTCCAAGTACCAGGATTCAGGCAAAAGGAAGAAGTTTAAATAAAATAAGGTGGAGAAAGAAAATGCATATTATAAACTTCAACAGCTTCCTACCATATTGCTTCATTTCTAGCTTACTACTGTCATGAGAAGATATTTTAAATCTTGATCTTCATAATTCTGGTTCTTAGAACTAAAAAAAAGGCTAGTGAATATTGAATATTCAGAAGCATCATGTTACATGGTCTCATACTTATTTTTTTCAAATTCAGCTCCCTTTTGCAAAGACTAACAATAAATGAGTCTGCTCATTGTTGTACTTACTCAACTAATTTTTATTGAGCATGTAGTATTACATGCCACATAACCAGTCACATTTGATTTAGTGAGGGAGTTCTATAAATCCTTGACCACAGATTTTTTTCCACGTATTTTGAGAGCTGTGTTGGAGAAATGAAAAGCAATTCTTTATGCTGTTAAAAAAAAAAAAAAAAAAAAAAGACTGTTGCAAACTGCTTCTTAGACAACAGCATCATTCCTTTGGAGGTCTGCTACAGGATGTGAGTCTCACAGTTTGTTGCCTTTCTCAGGGGTTTCCTCTTCAAGAAAGATTTGAACTGCTCACCAGTGGAGACATATAACCAGGTATCTACCAGAAGCAGAATCATCACCAACAGAGGGATAGTGAGCTGCAGCCAGATATACTTGCTTGGATGAGCTAGAGCAGAACACAGACGCAACAAGAAACATGACTCACAATAGCAACTGAAGAGTGACATTCAGAACTTCATCTTCTTTAAGAGAAAGACTAAGGACGATCCTCCAATTTAGTAGGATGAGTCCTCCAGGAACAGAGAAAAGTCATGCAGGAGATTACGTTACACAGGCTGTGTCCCCTGGAGGCCCAAGGAGAACTAAATATTTCCCAGGAAACCCTGTCCAAAATCTTCCCTTTAATCAATATGCTCCAGAGAAAACTCACAGAAAAAATGACTCTTTTCTGGAAGCTTACATGGTCACCATATGAAATTTGGAGTAAAGCGAGACAGAGTGGAGTCAAGAGGTCACCAGTGTCTTGTTTTTCATTAATTAGCCATTGTTTCTTGAACATAAAGTACTGGAGTATTTATGTTGCCTTCCAGCTTTACTGTTTTATGGCTCTGTTATTCTGATTACATGGTGATGATTTTTCTAGAATTATAGAACTCCCAACTATCACAGAGAGAAATCATTTAAGAAGCAGGGTTTCTCAACCTTGGCTGCACATGACCATCACTTTTTTTTTCTTTTGGTACTGGGAATTAAACTAAGGACCTTGGTCTTGCCATGAAAAATATTAAAACCAAGCCAACATAACTATCACTTGAAAGACCCTCTTAAAGGTATTGATGCCCATCCCTCTCCCCAAACCAATCAGATAAGAATCTAAAGAGATGAAACATAGATATTAATATTATTTTAAGTTCCTTAGGTGATTGTAGTGGAGTTTAGGCCAAATCTTCTATTTTACACATGAGAAATTCAGAAACAAATAACCTATTGGTCTCACATTAACAGAACTGTGAGCAAAGCTTAATTCTGACTTTGGTCCCATGTTTTTCTTAGACATAATTATCAACATACCTAAAAAATATATCTAACTTCTTCCTTGCAATGAAAATATTTCAAAGGTTTTTCCTGTTGTGTATAAGATTAGGGAAGAGAAGATTTTCCTATGGGCCTTAAAGGCAGTCCACCTGCCTACTCACTCACATCAAGCCTTTTTCCTTGTCCCACAAGACCCAGGCATATGGTTTTATTAACTGGTAAGATTTCTTTTGTAGCCCTCCTAAGATAGAATAGACTCTTCTTACACTTCACAACCTTTGTTCCTTCATCTTTGGAACTCCTTTTTCAATTCAATAATTTTAAATCCTTCCCTCAGGAGAAACAGATAAGTTTGAGACAAAAAACCAAACAAAAAAAGCCCAAAAAACTACAATCTCTAACATCTATATATTGCTTAAAAGTTTACAAAGTCATATAATAAATATTAACATGCTAATCTTCACAAAAACTCCACAGTTCAACTGTGAACAGGTATGTTGCCTTATCATTTTTAAAAAAGTGCTCTAGGATTGAGGTATGTGCTATAACTTTGATTACCTCATTGCAAACCTATTGACTTTTCTAAGTAATCATAGTTACCCTGATTCTATAAACTGCTAACACTTCAGGCTCACATAGATTTTTCTCCCTTCCACTGCTATGGACTATTATTTTTTCCCTTTACCAACTCACCTTTTTGGACAGTAATCATGAGGGGCTCAGAATAATATCTATAATCCTCCTCCCAGTGCTTGGGGCTAAAAAATCCAGAGCAATGATAAGTACCACTGTTAGGAAGTCCCATAGTCGCAATGGTAATGGAGACACTGTTCTCATAACAGTACTTGAAAGCCTGGCCATCCTTGTAGTAGATTGGCTTGTAGATGGTCACATTCTTCCAACCATGACACCTCAGGGATAGGGACTCGCCCTCTGGCACCATCTCCGCAGAAGTTTGAAGGAGCAGCCAGTCTGAGGAGTAGCCATTATGTTATTCATTTAGCAACAAATGAAGAGAAAGGAGGTATGTGGAAGAAAAAAGGGGGGGCATTATAAATAGGTAGATTATAGATAGATCATCAATATATAGGTGATAGTATAGATAAGAAATAACTATATAGCTAGATTATTAATAAATAAATTATATATAGATAGGCAGATATAGCATCACGAGATAGATGATAGATATTGGTATAGATCAAATAGGATCACAAGTAAAATGTGTGTCAGAAACCATAGATCATCATTAACTCAACTCACATCTCATAAAGAAATTGAAAGTAAACACAAAGTAATGCTTAGAGTTTGACTTAAAACTTCTTTAAAACATGTGCAGCCATTTAAAATATTTGTGGCATTCATAGTCTAATGTTCTCATTCCCAATTAGCTCTATGTTTCGTAGAGTTAGAGGTCTTGCCTCATTCGTTGTGTTTTCTCCAGTACCTAACACAATGCCTAGCAATTGATAGATACTCAAAAAATATTTGTGCTGGGGCCGGAGAGATAGTTCAGTAGAATAAGTGCTTGTCTGGCAAGTGCAAGGGTCTTGAGTTCAATTCCTGTTATCTCAAAAAAATATTGTGAATGACAAGTCAATAAAATCTGAGACCTATTGTCATTGTGATAATTGAAAAGCATTGATAAAAGAAAATACTCAAATGGGAAGATGACTGACTTGTTCAAGCACATTTTATGTAGGAGAAATCCTTAAGGACTTTTCTATATTACAAGTAAGTAAAGATTCTGTCTTATACTGATTTAGTTCATAAATGGAATTTACATACAGATGTTAAAATATTTACTTTCACTGGAGAGAAAAGTGCAACACTCATTTATCCATCCAAATTAAATCATTACTTTGGTCAGCCAACATTTACTGATCAATCCCCTCATGCAATATGTTGTGCTAATTGTTGGCAGGATGTGAGTGAAACAAACGTAAGAGCTGTTTTTGAGTGACAATAAATGACATGAAGAATGTATACAGATACCCTTCATAATTAACCTAATATTTAAGTCATGGCACATGGATTATTCAGAGTAAATTTTTAGGTCAAGACTTTTGGTCCTGTTTTGCAGTGTTGCATTTGACCACATAATGTACATTTGTGATGAGGCAGAAAAAAGAAAAAGAGTACAGGAATAATATTGAGGGTAACCAGAACATTGAAAGAAGATTAAAAGGTTGTCATAAGGAGTGGGTATAGGAGAAGAATGGAGACATATTCAGTGGAAAGCCCAGAGTCTTACCCCAATCCTTGCGCCCTTAGAATAACTTATATTGCCCCATCTATCAATGAGACATTACCAAACGGGAGATATGCATTTCCATATCCCTGAAACTTACTCTTGCACACTTCCAGGTGTACGGGTTGACTCCTCCTCAAATTTTGGTACTGACATTCATACTTCCCACTGTCTTGAAGTGTGGCATTTACAATGGTATACTTTGAAGTGGTTGTTGCAGAGTTGGTGTCATTGTGAAACCACTTAGTAGAGCTGTCTGAAGTGTGATTGTTCTTACTACATGTAAGAGTCACACTTTCTCCTTCAAAGATTCTGTTCCACGGGGGGCTCAAGGTGATCACCGTTTTCTGAGGGGCTTCAAGAAGATAAAATTATAGAAAGAGAATTAGAAGGAAAAATCATAAAAAGCCACAAATATGCCTAGAGTCAATAACAAACAGTTCACCCTTGTATTGCTTGTATTCTGTCCTAATTCCTAAGGGAAGTGTGGAAGGGTCAGGGAAATTTCTGTGAATGGGGTGAATAAGAGAATTAAGATGTAGTATGTACATTTACCAACTTTCCACAATAATTGTAATAGTTATATACTGCAAACATGTACTAATAAAAATGTATTGATTTGACTTGATGAAATATACATGGTCTTTCCAAGATCTAGATTTTATGTCTACTTACTTATAAGTGTGTATAAAGTGAAAACTATATGTCAATTTGGCAAGGAAGTGAAACGCACCAAGACAGTGGGTCTCCAACAGCTTCCAGGAGCAAAGGGATGTGGTGTGAATTTGAACAGAGGCCAAGAAAGTGGGTAGATGGTGTGACAAAAGGGTGCTTCAGTTGAAGGAGAACTAGACTCAGGCATGAGGGACTAGGCTAGAATCCATTTTGTTGCTGTTGTTCTTAGATGTGTAACTCCAGCAAGTAACTTAATCTGCTACAGCATTCTCAATTATAAAATAATTCAAATCTAGTGGAAGGAAGCAAAAACCCTGGAAGGAGGCTAAGACATGTAGATAAGTTTGAGAGGGAAAGTAGGCTGACCAAAGAAGGGTAGATTAATTCTCATCAGAAAATGGAAGTGAGAGAATGCAGGCAAACTGTGAGAAAGAGGAATGCCTAGGCACTTGCAAATGCTGAGGGCACAAGGAGAGAGAACTTACCTGTTAGCATCTCATCAGGAGCTGCAAAAATCCAGAGACAATAAATCAGTATCTTTCTCACAGCCCTTGGGACTCTGGACATGGTGCTGAGATCTGTGTCCCTTGAGCTTTCAGAACACATATCTTCTTAGGAATCAGACCCAGCTGCACAGTGGGCTTCTATTTTCCCTCTGTCCTCCCATCTTCCTTAGCAATCTAGCATCTACCTCTGGGGGATGTCAAGGTATCCCTAAGGAATCAGGCTCTCCATCTTCTTTCCCCTCAGCTGTAGCTCAACCCAGTTTCCTTTGCTTTCCAATTATTTCTAATAGAGTCTCTAGGAAATATCCCACCTCTTGAACATGTCCTAGAAAGAGTGATCACTAAAACTGCCAAAGTTCTTGTGCCTGCTGATCCCCAGATCCCCTGTAGCCCCGCAAAGAGGAGGAACTGGCCCTCTACTTACAGAAGAACAGCAGAGCTAACCAGAGCAGGGCCGACCCATCCACAGCAGCAGCCATCTCCTCTTTGCCTCCAGGTGCCTACTGGGTAGAATCTATAGCCTCAAAAATAGGCTTGAAACCAAAAAGGAGAAGGAAATGTTGTATGTGTCATATCTGGTTAACTCAGCTATGCCTGTGCTTGTTTCTCTTTCCAGAGATAATATTCAGAGCAATTTTATCTTTATCCTTTTATTCTAGTCCCCCCCATACTTCCATATGCACACCCAAAACATGGGGGATGGGGGATAGGCATAAGTCTAGGCACAGCTCTAAGGCTCTGTTAAACTCTCAACCCATGCACAATTATTCAATTTGCAGCTTAGGAAATTGAGATGCAGGAGAGAGCAAAATGAGATTAACCACCAAACATCTCAATATATGCCAGACACTATGATGAATATCTCATATTTTGTTCATTTTTTTTTGCAAAATCTCTATGAATTAGGTAATATCACTGTCTACACTTTGTAGATTGGAAACCTGAATCTTAGGAACGTTTAGGGTACTATCTAATAAGTGACCACCATGTGGTTCAAAGATATAAAATGCAAACCCAGAGTTGAACCCTCAGCCACTATGATACATTGTGTGTGTGTGTGTGTGTGTGTGTGTGTGTGTGTGTGTGTGCGCGCGCGCATAGGTGCATGTGTGCATTCCAGCGTTTGTCCACCAGTTGCTAAAATCTGAAATGAAGAGATGAACCTCAAAAGGAGGTGGCTGCTTCTGTGGATGGGTCTGCCCTCCTCTGGTTAGCTCTGCTGTTCTTCTGTAAGTAGAGGGCAAGTTCCTCCTCTTTGTGGGGCCACAGGGAATCTGGGGAGCAGTAGGCATAAGAACTTTGGCAGTTTTAGTGGTCACTCTTTCTACGACATGTTCAAGTGGTGGAATATTTCTAGGGACTCTGTTAGAAACGAACCTCAAAAGAATTTCAGCAACTGGTGAAATTTGAGGCACCACCCATCTTGTTACTTAATTTCCTGCTGACATACTCATCTACAGATCAACATTTCACCTGATTCACAGGTGATTATTATCTGACTGGTCAAATTGGAGAGACTTTTAGAGACTCTTCAACTGTTGGGTGCTGATCTGATTCATGACACAGGAAAGCAGATCCTAGGTGTTTTAACATCTATTTGATTTTATTCTCAGCTTAGATCGATTTTTAAATTTATGATCATTCATCATGAACACTTTTTTCTTACCTTGACATCTTTTTTTCCCCTCTCTAGTACCCTTCAGACTCATTTTCATCTTTTTAGCACCAGGTCAGTGTTAGTGATGACACTGGAGACAGTGATGTCCTGAATGCCCATAATAGGTTGACATTTACTAAATTTTCCTTTTTAATGTGAAGTATTAACTTGATATTTGCCAAAATTCTAGAGTATGAAGGAGCCCCTTTCACAGCTGAAGTGACTGAGGTACTCACTATGTCATCATGCTGTGCTTTTACCCAGAGACTGTTGAATGAAATTAAATTAGGTGCATTGAATTAATCTCAAAGCCACTCCCCATAAAGTACTATGTAAAACTTTTAACTTTCTATCAGATGAGAGGATACGGCTCTAAAAAAGACTTGTAAGTAGAAACTTTTACATAAGACTGATTAGTGACTGATTTCAGCTGCATGGCATACAGCGTTTTAGTGAGATTTTAAAGACAGTAGCAAGTTATTTTTAAAGGTGTAAGATACATGTTTTGATTTGTTTTACTGTGAGTACATTAATATGTATGGATTTATATGTAAGTTTAGAGATTTGGCTTCTTATACTTTTTTGTATCTTTAGGGGAGGGTCTACAGGGTGTTCAGGGTCTCATTACTAGATTGGACTCCTAGTGATCGCCTGTTTACAGCCTCCCAAGAACTGGGATTACAGGAGTGTACCCCCATACCCAGTGTCAATTGCCATCTCAGCGTGGAGACTCAACTTCAAATACTCCTAATGTTTATGTGTTTGAGGTTTACTTATAAAATGGGGACAATAATTATATCCAGATCATGGCTTTATCATGAGATTGATAAGATAATAAGCATGTATAATGCATCCCATAACATCTAACATGTAAAACATATTTAGTAATTATATCTTCTTTTTTCCCTGCCATTACTTACTAAATGTTCTTAGAAGAAATATGAATGTGGACTGGGTTGAGGCAACCAGAAACCAACGTAGGATGCTTTGTTCAACAACCAGTAAATTATGCTTGTGTAATTTATCTAACCAATCTCACTCTTTTCCATACTCAGAGGAAAGTAGGATAAGGAAACACTATAATACAGATTTGATGGAGTTAAGGGAGACAGAGATAAGGAGAAGTTGACAAAGATATATATTTGAGGCACTGTCCAGTAGTGACATTTGAATCCTTGGACCCTGGAAATGTCAGGAACAGATCTTACATTTTTTGTTGTTGTTGTTGAAAATTTGTTTGGATTTTTTTTGTTTCTCTTTATTCTAGGATGGTTGTCCTATAATAAAGTTGTTTATCAGATATAGTCACTTTTGTGACTCTTCTTATTTAAAGGATGTCTCTCAGTTTATGCACTTTCTAGTTAGCCAAGTACTTTCTAGTTAGCTGATCTGGGACGAGGCAATAGAAAAATAGTAGTCCTAGTTTGAAGAGAATAGAATTTAATGATAGACTACTTTCATTTGATTCACCATTCTAAAGTTTTTGCATAAATCTCCAGCATTGATATAAGGCATATTGGTAGCAGACTCAACAAAAGCAGTTTATTAAAACTTTTATTAAAACTTAAAAGCTTTATTAAAACTCAAAAACACAAACCAAGTTACTTTCTTGACCAACTTTGCAAATAAAAGTATAAAACAAGATTGACCAAAAGCATGAACATAAGAAGAAACAAGCAATACTCTAATTCCCAAAACATGTATGTACAGGTACCCAAAGCATATAAATACAGGCATCCAAAACACATATGTACAAGTCCCCAAACCATGTTAGAGGCATCCAAAGCATGTAAGTTCAGGTATGGAAATCATACAAGCTCAAGTACTCACAGCATGTAAGGACAGGCAGCTAAAGCATGTAAACTCAGGTACACAAAGCACATAAGAACAGGTAACCAGAGAAACAAACTAGGGGAAACTAGATCATTTGGAGGAACAGGAACTAGCATAGAGGTGCTCACAACTCTGGGTAACTAGCTTGGCCAGAGGAATCCAAATGCCTGTCCCATTGCCTTGCATGAAGTGAAGCACCTAGAACTTGGCAATTTGGTCTGGCTAGAGGAACACAAGGTAAATCCACTCTAACAAGGAAAAGCATTTTGCATACAAATTCCCAATTTACAATTTTTTTCTTTGTATAACTATGGACTTTGCTCCTATGGTCTAAAGTACAAAACCAACAGTTATCAAAATTTGTTAATTTCTAAATTTTTCTTGATGTTATCATTATTGCTAATTGTACAACTACAGCTAGGATATCATATCTGTTTTAACCACTTATTCTCCCTTGGGTAACAATATTGGGAAATATTGGGATAGTAACCTCACCAAAGCCCTTACAGCTAAAGGAAAATGGGGGCTGGCCAGATAGCTCAGTGGATTAAAGTGTCTCCTTCAGTGGACACATGGATCAGAGGTTTGCTCCTCGACCTGCTATGTCAGCCCTGCCCCCAGGGAATGCTAAGGTGGCGATTAATACTGAGTGTGGTGGTGTGTGCCTATAATCTTAGTACTTGGGAGACTGAAAACAGGAGAATCACTATGAGTCCAATCTATGTAGTGAGACCCTGTAGACCTTTCACTAAATACAAATAAATAAATTAATTAAATTAAATAAAAAATAAAGGATAATCACAAATGGAAACCAACCTCCCATTCTCAATTAAGTGAGAAGGAAGGCTCTTAGGACAAACACAAACCAAGAATCTCTAACACAGACAATATTATTGTAGAACAACCTCTTCCTGGAGTGATAGGAATATGATAATAGTGATAATAGTGATATAGCTACCTACTATCAAAATTTCACAAGTCTTGTCACAGAAATCAAAATAAAGAGTTCTTTCTGAAACAGAAAATGACAAGACAAATAAGTAAAACACAGGGGCCGGGGAGATGATTCAGTGGAGTAAGCACTTCCCTGGCAAGTGCAAGCGCTTGAGTTCAATCCCCGGTTCTGCCAAAAAACCAAACCAAACCAAACCAAACCAAACCAAAACAAAACAAAACAAAACAAAACAAAAAGTAGAAAGAGTCAAAAAGAAAAAAAAAAAAAAGATAAAATGCAATCTCAAGCCCAGCCCACCCAGAACAAGTCCAGGAGACGTTAGCATAGAACAAAAATGAAAGTCATACACCTGAAATCTCTGAAATGATTGCAACTGAAGTAAAGAAACAACTGCAGATTGGTATAGAGGAAGTCAGATCAGAAATAATGTCTCAAGTAAAACTGGAAGGATAACCATAATGAAAGAATCACTGAGCATATCTGAAGAAGACATTGATAGAAAAATAAAGGAATAAATCTAGGACAAAAATGATAGAAATCTAGAATGAACATCATAGGAAAAGAAATAGAATGAATGAAATAGATTCAAAGAGATATACAAGAAATTAAAAATTCCATTAAAGCTGGAAAAACTATCTGAATGAAACTAAAATAGACTTTCAGGCCTTCAAGATATCATGGTAGTTGGTTACCAGGAAAGGAAAGATATCTTAAAAGAAACAAGGAAGCAGGAAATAATAATGCATCAGATACAAGGTGACACAAAGATGAGTGTAAGACTTATAGGTGTCAATGAAAAAGGAGTCTTTTGATGACATAAAAAGACTGTTGCAGAAAGATGGCAGAAAACTTCCCAAGCATGGGGAATGAATCTGATATACAGGTAAGGGAGGCCTATAGACTTGCAAGCATTGACCAAAATAGATCTACACTCAGGCATATAATAATCAAAATCCCAGAAATTCAGCACCAAGAACAATATATTAAAGGCTCTTGGAACAGAAAAACAGATCAGATTTAAAAGAAGCTTATCAGAATCACAGCAGATTTCTCAACACAAACCATCAAGTCAAGAAGAGCTTGAAGTGAAGTATTTGAAATCCTTAAAGAAAACAACTTTGAAACCAGATTGATATACCCTGCAAAACTATCTTTCAAAATTATTTAAGAAGTAAGATATTTCCATGACAAAGAACAATTAAAGAAATTCATGACCACCAAACCAACCCTACAAAGAATACTGAAGGACATTCTAGAAAAATATCAAAGTGACCCCAATTCCAAGAACACCAACAAAAAGAAAGCAGCAAGTAGGACCAGCAATTAAACATGGGAAAATAAGGAACAAGCAGCATGACAGAAATAAACCAATACATATGAATTATAACCACCAATGTATATGATTTCAATTCACCAATTAAAAGAAATAGAATGGTAGAGAGGATCAAGAACAAAATTCAACATGCTGTGTACAAGAAACACATTTAACTCAAAAGGAAAGTCATACGCTGAAAGTCAAAGAGTGGAATACAGTATGCCATGTCCCAGGAACTCAGAAGAAAAGCAGGAGCAGCTATTCTGTTTGCAGACAATGTAAACTTCAAACCGAGAATGATTAAATGAGATAAAAAGGACACTACATACTTATTAGGGGAATATTTCAAAAGGAAGTGATAATAATTATAAATAGGTAGGCACCAAAAATGGGAGCACCTATCTATCTAAGACAAATTGTAAAGGACATGAAAAATCAAATAACCAATAACAATCTTAATGGGGGACCTTAACACATTATGTCAAAGAAGTTGATCAACTAGATAAAAGCTCATTAAAGAGGTAGCAGACTGAAAGAAATCTTCGGACAAATGGACTTGGACTTTTACAAAGTCTTCCACCCAACAACATCTGAATACACATTATTTTCAGCTGCACTTGTACCATTCTCTAAAACTTACCACATACTAGTCCATAGATCATACTTAAGTAGATGCAAGAGAATTGAAATTATCCCATGCGTATTATCTGACCAAGTGTAATGAAACTGGAAAGTAGCAACAAATAAATCTACAAAAATCCCATAAACACATGGAAATTAAATAACACCCTTCTCTGCAACCAATAAGTCACAGATGAAATTAAATAATATCTGCAATAAAATGAAAATTCAAACACAGCTTAGCAGAATTACTGGGGTGCAATGAAAGTAGTTCTCAGGGGGAAATTTATAGTGGTGAATACACACATCAGGAAAACAGAACAAGAAGTAAATGCCTTACTACTGCACCTCGAACTTCTAGAGAAAGAAGATCAAATCAAGCCCAAAGTCCAAACAAGAGAGGAAATTATAAAGATCGGAGCAGAAATTAGTGCAATTGAGACAAAGAAAACAATACAAAGAATTAATAAATCAAATAGTTGGTTCTTCGAAAGATTAAATAAAATTGATAAGCCCCTACCCAACCTCATGAAAAAAAGAAAATACTAAAATTCCAGCTGTCTGGAATGAAATTACCACAGATTCTATGAAAATTCAGAGATCATCAATACCTACTTAGAAAATCTTTGCTCATAAGATGGAAAATACTTAAGAAATAGACAGATTCCTAGTTATATACAAATTGCCAAAACTGAATAAAGAACATTAAAACTCTGAATAACCCAATATCAGTCAATGAAATTTAAAATGTAATCAGAAACTTGCCAACAAAGAAAAACTCAGGTCCTGATGGATTCACAGCTGAATTTTATAAGAAATTTAGAGAAGATTTAATCTCAGTCTTCCTCAAACTCTTCAATAAAACTGAAAAGGAAGCAATTCTCCCTAACTTGTTTCTGCAGGCAAGTATTACAGTTAGAAAAACAGAGAAAGACCAAACGAAAATTTTCCCTCATGAACATAAAGGCAAAAATACTCAATAAAATACTAATAAACAGAATGCCGCAAAACATCATGTACCAAACTAAAGTTAAAATAAGTTAAAGACCGAAACATCAAAACAGAAGTGCTAAATCTACTGAAAGAGAAAATAGGTGAAAATCTTGGATACATAGAGTTACTCAAGAGAGTTAATGGACAAAAACCAAACTGCATGGGAAATACTTCAAAGAATCAACAATTAGGATATCATCTTGCTGAAAAATTTCTATACATCAAAAGAAATCACCAATAAAGTTAAAAGAAACCCCACAAATTGGGAAAAAATCTTAACCAACAGCCACTAAAAGGACTTCTATCTAGAAAATATAAAGAACTAAAAATAAAATCAGGCCCACAAAATTCAAAGACCCAATCCAAAAATGTGCATCTGAGATGAATATACACTTCTCAGAGGAATAAATACAGATGGCAAATAAATACATGAAATAATGTTTCACATTTAGTCCTTGAGATCCTGCTTTCCCTTTCCTTGTATTATATCTTTCTATTTGTATTTCTTCTTTGGAGTTCTTATACTAGGGAGACTATATGATATTTACACATGTGTGTGTGGTTTATCCCACTTATGAGTATATGTTCAAGTGGCATCCACTTCAATATAAAGGCTTGCAGTTTATCATTCTTAATAGCTGAATAATACTCCATTGTGTAAAAATACCCCATCTTTCTCAACCATTCCTCGGGTGATGGGCATCTTGGTTGTTTCCAAGATTTGGCTATCACAAATTGTGCCGCTATAAACATCGGCACACATATATCCCTATGATATGATGTTTTCAGATCCTCTGGAAAAATTCCCAGTAGAGGAATAGCTGGTTTAAAGGGGATTTCCAGACCAACTTTTCTAAGGAGTCTCCATGCTGATTTCCATAACGGTTGCACCAGTCTACACTCCCACCAGCAGTGGAGAAGGGTTCCTTTTTCCCCACAGCCTCTCCAACATTTGTTGTTGGGTGATTTCTTTATGATAGCCATTCTTTCTGGGGTGAGATGATATCTCAATGTAGTTTTAATTTGCATTTCATGAATGGCTAGCGATGTGGAGCATTTTTTCATGTATTTATTCGCTTGTTTAATTTCTTCCTCTGAGAAGCACATTTGAGAAATGCAAATCAGAACAAGATGAAGATTCTACCTCGTGCTAGAAAGACTGGCTATCATAAAGAAATCAACTAACAACTAATGCTGGAGAAGCTATTTGGAGGAAAAAACCTTTCTCCAATACTGGAGGGAGTGTAGACTGGTACAACCACTATGAAAATCAGTGTGAAGACCTTTCAAAAAACTATAAAACTATGCTTAGAAGTCCCATTCAACCCAGCTATTTCCTTTCTGGGTATTTTTGCAGAAGAACTGAAAAACATTGTAACACAGTCAAACATGTGTACCTATGTTTATAGTAGCACAATTTGTCAAAGCTAAATCTTGGAAACAACCCAAATGCTCATCAACTGAGGAATGGATAAAGAAGATGTGGTATTTTTACATAATGGAGTATTACTCAGCTATAATGATAAACTTGAGGCTTTTTCAGGTTAATGGATGCAACTAGAGGCTATGCTCGTAAGTGAAATAAATCATATCCATACATGTAAATAACATGTTTTCTCCTAAGTGTAAGAACCTGAAAAAGTAAACAAAATCTCAACGGTATAAAAGATATAGTGAAAGATAAAGACAATGAACATAAGGAATAAACAATTGGGATGAGAGAAAGGAAAAAAGGAAAGGGATAAAATCATGCATGTTTATGTATGGGATAGCTAAGATGATTGTACTACTAATTTCTGTTAGTTTTTTGAAGGTAGCAGTTAATGCTTAAAATTTTTTACTTTGACCAATTTCATATGCTTGTATCTTTAATCTGAGCAATTACAATGAAGATAGCAATGTGCAAAATAACAGCCACTCTTGATCACCTATCCTCTTGTTATTTTTTTAAAAAGTATCATTTTTAATGTCTTATCTATTATTTTTCCATTCTTTTAAAAATAAAATAAAAAATAGAAAAAAACCATGAACTAAGAAGCACATAAGCACCAAAACAGAGGCGAGTTCTTCCACCCTAGTAGAACTGTGTTGATGTAGCAGTTTATTTCCATAGATTAAAAAATTTTATATGCTGACATAATGTCCACCACAATTTCAACCCACAATCTAGGTGGAGAGGGCTGCTTATTTCTTCTACTCAGCCTGCCTACTTCAGGAACTTGATGAAATCATTACGTTTTAATGTTACTTCTTACCATAAGTTTCTGAATCTGAGTGCCCATGTACTCAATACATAACAGCACCCTGCTGTCAAAATTTTGATTTGATATTTGTTTGCAAAAGCCTTAGTCTATATTACATTTTGTAGCAATGATAGAAAAATGAAACTTGAGCAGCCAACCATCAAAAATAGGGCCTATAGAATTTGACATATCCCTGCACCTAGATTCTGAAAGAGAAGCCTTTGACAAGAACTTTGTTGATATGGTCATCAGAGGAAGCATCAGAATTCTCTGCCTTGTTCTTTGCGATCTCCAAAATTGGGAAGCAGAAGGACCAATTTTCTGGCTTCTCTCTGCTTTAAATTCTATGGACCAAGGTCTTTATAATAGATATAAAGTGACTAAAAAGAAAAACATCTGTTCATGGTGTGCATATACCTAATAAATATTAGCTTTAGGTAAGCTTGCAACATGTCTTACCTACTTTGTTCTTCCTACCAATTCTACATAGTTAAGAATGAGGAAACCAGTCATAAAGATTCTGAGTACTTGAAGGATCTTTCATCACTAAGTGAGGATTTAGGTTTGGGGCCCAAACCATGTGGTTGAAGAGTTTGCACTCAGGAACAGTTAGAAAGATAAGCTGTTTGATAAATGTATTGGTCAGTTTCCTATTACTGGGATAAATACTTGACATACCTAATTTAAAGGGAAAAGGGTTTAATTTGGCTCAGTTTCAGAGGTTTTAATTTATTGTCAGTTGGCTCCAAGATGAAAACATAATGGTGGAAGAAAGCAGCTAATTTCAGGAGAGCAAGGAAGCTGAGAGAGACAAAGAGCAAGAGAGCAATAGAGAGTGTGAGAGAGCAAGCTAGAGATAGCATTTAACTTTCAAAGGCACACCTTTGGTGACCTACTTCCTCCAACTAGACTCTACTTCCAAATAAGCTCATTTACTTATGCACTGATCAGCAGACTCTACTGATGAGGTGAATACCTTCATGAGTGCCGGGAACCTCTCTACCCCCAACCACAACATTGCTGCTTTGGGAATAGAGACCTCAATACACCAGTCTCTGGGAGGTGCTTCATATGTAAGTCTTAATGATAGGTAAGTAGATAGATAGATAGATAGATAGATAGATAGATAGATAGATAGATAGGTAGATAGATCTTCATTCAGTACTGTCAGCATATTAACAGTGCATTTCAAAACAGTTCTAAAAGGAAAAGGGAAAAAACAAAAATCCTTGCCTTTGTTCTATAGATTATTAGGTCCTAGAGGGAAATGGCTCCATCTGTCTGTGTTTTTTCTTTTGCTACCTTCAACAGGTGCTGGCTTAAGGAAGAGTATTCAATAATAGATGGTGGCTGGCTGGTGGATTTTCTCATTAAAGTCAGTGGCTTTATAGTTTTTACTTCTTGTCTTGACCTGAATGGTTACCTACTTTGGATCCAAAATATGTATAAAAGAAGGGCTGGCCAAATAACTCAGCAGATTAAAGCACCTGCAAGTAGGTGCAGGGGTCAGAGATTTGATGCCCAAGCCTGCTGTGCACTGAGATGGCAATTGAGACTGGACTTGGTGACGCGTGCCTGTAATCCCAGCTCTTGGGAGGCTGTAAATAGGTGGATCACTTCTAGTCTGATCTAGTAGTGAGACCCAGAACACCTTGTAGACCCTTCCCTAAAAAAATACAATCTATATATCTATATATTGATATCTCTATATCTCTATTGATATCTCTCTCTATATATAGCTCTATCTATCTATCTATCTATCTATCTATCTATCTATCTATCTATCTATCTAATGGAAGCTCCCAGGGCTCCAAAAGTAAATGCCACTCTGAGAGAGATGAAGACAAGGATTATATAGGCTGAAGCTTTAGGTGCAGGTAGAGATATTTCCCCCAAGAAAAGAAAAATAGTACCAATGATGGTGCTTTCTTTCCACTTCTTTTATTATTTTTGAGATTAATTTATCTCTAATAAGGAGGGGAGAATCAGGTAGAATATTTTACAGGTAGTATTTGAATGGAGTCTAGCTATAAAGTACATTACCAGAAACTGATTTCAATAACAAAGATTTCATTCAAAATTAAAAGTTACCAAAACATTTGGAAAATGCAGATTTATATAGCTGGAGCTAATATACTGCATATTGCTTATAAGCAGGCCCTACCAAATATACAAATTCAAGGTTGTCAATGGAAGCTGAGAGTTAAAGACCCAGGTACAAGATCACTTTTCAATTGAATATGAAAACTCAATGAAGTAGGGAAAAATTTCCTAACTGTGTTAGAAATGTTAAGCATCCCCTAAATTATAACATAACAGAAAACTTAAAATGTCTCAGAGATGGCCATTGGCTTAGGGCAATCTATTTTACACCACCATCTGTTTTATAGCATGTAGGTGTGGACATCTATGATGTCAAGCTGCCCGTCTTCAGGATGGGCAGTCAGTCACTTACACTCTGTGGATGAGAATTCTGTGTGGTGTCTCATGGGTAAAGGGCATGTCTGAGCCATGTATGCACTCAAGCAAACCAACCATGATTTTGCTTTATAACACTGTGTTCCAGCCAAGGGACTCAAAGGGTTTCAGGTTTGCCTTCATGTCCTTCAACAGACACAAGCATTTCCCCTTAGAATGGGGAAAATGTAGTAAGCCTGTTGAGGAAGTCTCGGGAGTGTAGTGGTGGAAGAAAAGATTTTCAGTGTCAGAATATTATCTTAAATTTTAAAAGTTAAAAAGAAAAATATTAATGATTAGTCATGCATGCTTCATAAGAGCAGGATTAATTAAGAGTCCAAGGTGTGAACAGGCTCCTCAGTTTGAGCCTTAGTGTAGACCACTTATTGGGCATTTTTATCTTTATCTTTATTTTATTTTTTTCTGTGGCCAGCTCAGCCTGCTCTCGGGGTGGGGCTGCTGCGACATGTGGTGCCAGGATAGAACTGGTCCACATGCTTGCATAAGCTTGCCTAATCAGGTGCCTTAGACCACTGAGCTATCTCACTGGCCACCTTTTTTTATTTTTGAGACTGTATCTTGCAACATAGTTCAGACTACACTTGAGTTCACTATGTGGCCCAGGATGGCCTAGAACTCACTGTTTTTCCTGCCTCAGGCTCCACAGCACTAGGTCATAGGGGCGCACCATCTCACCTTGCTAGTTGTCTCCTGCACATTTCTAAATCTATCCTTGCCTCAGCCTCCTCACCTATAGCATAGAGGTAGTATGAATATCTTCCTTAAGGGTGGTACTTAAGTACTAAATGAGTATTAAATGAGTTAATACAGTGCGCTTAGAACAGAGCATGCTAAATACTTTAGCTCTTACTGATATGCTCATTATTTTGTAAGAAGCCATTGTTTAGACTTTTATAAGTAGCAGAAAACAAGCTAATAAATACTCCTTCCCTTTGTGCCAGTAAGATTTACTCCCTCACTTATAACATAGGCCTGCAGAGGTGGGGTAGAGAGCTGGAAGATCATTTGTAGGTGTGGCTCTAGCCAGAGAAATTCTAGTTTTGCAGAGTCAGCCCTCCAGGCAAATGTAGTATAGGCCAGGTTTATTTTATGCTTCCTTACAGAATTACACAGTTAAAAAATGGAAACAGCTTTTTCTTAAAGGAATCCCTTTAGGCTGTTAGCAGATAAGGACAAGAGGTCTTAGCCCAGCCTGGAGCATTTGCATTTTAATAGGTAACTTGTGAAGCCCTAATCTTTCAGGACCCTGGCTAAGCAGCACTGTGACCAATGTGTTTGGGGTGGGGGTGGGGGTGGGGATGTGCAAGTAAGTTTGAGTGGAGGAAGGGGATGGAGCAAGGATGGGAGTGGGGGATTTTTCTGAGTCCTTTCCATCTTGATTGTCATACTCCTTAACAGAGTGATATCCTGTAGAAGAGAAGGCCTTTAGGAACAGTGTCTCTCTCCCAATGCCATGTAATAACTAAGGAGTCTCTGCATACTAAAATCTTGTTCTGCTTCGCTACAATCCTTCCATGTCCAGTTAGATATTTTGTGTAGGGTAGCCTTGAACCTGACTTTGACAAATAAGCACAAAAGCACTTTTTCATATATACCAGACTTCACCGGAAATGAGCTCTCAGGTATACCGAGGGAAGATTATTCTTTGCTTAGAACAGCATCCTTGAATTCTTCACTGTTTCAGAAAATCAGATCACCGATGGCTACATTCTTTATATTTGTGTCATCTGTGTAGCACTTACCATGGACATGTTTTATTATAAAATTTTCCCTTTTTATTACTTCCTTCTATGAACACTGGGAATTGTACTGATGTAAAAGAATATATGTCAGTGTAGGTAACCCAGAAATAGTCTAGTTTCAGGGACTTAAAATGTAAACTATTTAGGAAGCCCTTCATAAAAATTTAAATAGAAAATTTTGAATAGAATTAGAGGTGCTAAAATGGCTGCCTGTTTAGAACAAGCAAATGAATCACATCCAAATTAAAAAGGATGAAAGCTGAGAAACTATCTGAACATTACAAGATCCAGAAAAAATAATTAGTTTTATACTAATAGAATTTTCTTTTACATACTTTTGCTGTATACTATTTGATCTCCTTTTTATCAGGCTGATATATTATAATATAATTTTTATGAAGAAACTACAAATGCAATTCATTCCTCCAGAATCATTGATCAACATTTATTTTCTATTATTGATAGCTGGGGTGCATACAAGATGCAATTTCTCATGCAGTATTCTCATTGTAGTCTTTCTACAGGCTTGCGTTTCACACAGTCACTCTGATAAACCCTGTAGTGCTTGATTCCTATCACAAAAGGCAAAAGCACTGTGCTGTATTTGCAATTTCATATTCTGCACTACTGAGTAGATTTCTGATAGGAGGCAATTTCCCTCCTCATTAGACATGGGGAGGAAGTCAATCCTCTGCTAACAGTTTTACACACACCTGACGATAGGAAAAAGTTTTTTATTAGATTATCTTCTGACTCCAATTCAACCTTTGTTTTCTTTCACTTTCCACCAACTTCCAAAGCCCCACACAGAAGATACGTTCATGCTGGGACATGACCTTTGTCATCCACTTTGTGTCATGAGGCCAGGAAAGCTAGCTCTTCAAGCAGGAGCTAGACAGCTTGCTGTATGGTACTATACCTGAGAGCGACTGAAAGCCACATACTTCTGTTCCACTAAAACGGGACTAAACTGATTTTCAACAAAAGTTCTCAACTGAATCTCAAAAAATATTTGGAAAGGGCCAGGAAGATAGCTCAGTAGAATAAATGCTTGCCTGGGCCTGAGTTCAATCCCCAGTATAGCCAAAAAAAAAAAAAAAAAAAGCAGAACAAAAACACTTGAAGGCATGCTGCCACATGCAGGTGTTCAGTCTTCAGTCACTCCTGTGCAGCCCCTGCTGGGATCCATGCTGAAACCCAGTGCACAAGTAGCCCAGAGAGCTGGGCACCTGAGGTGCCACTCCTGAGAAGTAGCTGGCAGGACAGATTAACTATTCACTATATGACACCTAAAACTGCAGCAGAAGCATATTTTTAATTTTTTTAAGAGAATACAAAATGGTAAAAGGAAAAAATAGAAATGATACAGAATTTCACTAAACAAAATAATAGGAATTTGACAATTGTTATTATATTACATGATATTATCTTAAAATTAGTTGTTTAGATTACCAGATA